TTGTTTTTTGTAACACTGAGGCTGTGTCCCAAATCATCCACTCACTCCCTCCTCCCTACTCCCTATATAGGGCATAAGGCAGGGGTGTCCAATCCTGGTCCTGGAGGGCCACAATCCTGCATGTTTTAGATCAGGGGTGCCCAAAACTGGTCCTCGAGAGCCCCTATCCAGCATGTTTTAAATGTGTCCCTCTTCCAACACACTTGATTCAAATGATCAGCTCATCATCAAGCTCTGCAGAAGCCTGATAACGATCCTGATCATTTGATATCGGACACAGCCTGATTTACGTTTTAAGGTTGTTTGTTTATTTGTTTATTTATTTATTTACTTATCTATTTATTTATTTATGTAACTCATGTCGTGTGAAACGCCTCTTTCACTGAATACACTGTATGAATGAAAATGAAAATGAAAAATACTTTATTTATCCCAGAAGGCAAATTCAAATCAAACTCTCCAACTTTAAATCTTCTTGATGATCACATTAATGATTTCCGGTTCGATGGTCACGGGGTCCCGCTAAGCCACGCCCAGGAAGCGCCTGTCTCAGGATCAGCGATCACCGGTTGATCAGAACCCCTCCGGACCAGAACAATGACGTGACGTCCTCAATATGTTGATTAGCGCGGAGCTACCTGGCTACATAAGCACGAGCCGCCCTGCAGTAACCATGCAGACTGTGTTTAGCCTCCGTTAGCCTCCGTCCGGTTCCGCAAACGCAACACAAGAACCATGGAAGACGTCAAGCGGTCACCCGCGGACGCGATGCAGGACTGCTGGATGGCGGCCCTGCTGACGGCCGCCGCCTGCGCTGCGGGAGCTGTGGCGGTGCTGATGCGGTCGATCAGGCGCCACCGAGAGGCGAAGGAGAAGATCCAGAAAGCCAGAGACCGGAGGACCGAGAGCCTGCAGCGGGCGGAGGAGGCGGTGCTCCGGTACAAGGAGGCGGTAAGAGCTCATCGTGTTTTTTAAAATTTATTTGTTTATTTTTTATTAATTGTTAGGAAGTATGTGTGTGAAGTGGTTTTAATTTTGCTTTATTTTTAAAATTTTTAAAATTTATTTATTTATTTGTATTTTTTATTAACATTTGACGACATCTGTGGGCGACCTCACCCATGAGACACATCTCTGACAACAAAACATCCCTTTTGTCGCTTTTTTTTTTCTCCCTATAAAATAATGTAGCAGAGAAATTTAATAATAGAAATAATAATGACAACGAAAACTACAGTAAACCAAAAATAATTATGAGAATTAAAACTAAAACAAAACGGAAGTAGTTGTAGTTTCCTCATTAACGTTAAAAAATAAACATCATCCCTGAAGTCGTAATAATTGTAGGTTTTTTAAACTCTAAAATAATGTAGCAGAGAAACATAATAATGATAACGAAAACCAAAGTAAACTACATTTTTAAAAAATGAGAAAACTAAAACAGAACGGAAGTAGTTGTAGTTCCCTTGTTATCGTTAAAAAACAATAACATCGCTGCAGCCATAATAATTGTAGTTTTTTAAATCTGTAAAATAATGTAGCAAAGAAAACTGATAGTAACATCAGCGATTTAAAAAAAAAAAATCAAAGTAATATTAATAAAAACTAAAAACATTAATTAAAAGAGGGGGGTAAATACATGGGATGGCGCAGTTTCCAAATAATAGCTTGTAAGAGTAAATATTTAGGAGGGTGATAACAACATGGGAGTGATCCCTGCAGCCCTGATAAAGGAGAGATGAAGGGTTTCCAAACCAGAAGAAGCTTATCTTTCTTTCCATCTCTCAAACAGCTTATCTTATAGTCATGTGATTAGAGGTGTGGTGAGCTTTTCAATTTAAAAACATCTCAGATACAAGCATCTCAAAATCTCTCTTCTGTGCATTCTACTTTTAAAACACATCCATGCACTTTGGCTCAGCTGTTTTGGTGTGACATTTTTTCAATGCATTCATTCAACCCTTTTTACAAACAAACTAGAAGTACATTGAGGTTCAAAGTCCTCCTTTACAGTGTAGGCGAGTAAGAAAAGAAAAAGATGTTTGAGAACAAATGAGAAACTTAACGAGTTAAAACGCTAAAGGGTAAAGTCAAGCTCAAGATCGTTCTGCAGGTATTTCCCGGGGGCAGTTAAACGTTGGGTAACAATGGGTTTTTCAAGATCATCCAGTTCTTTTACTGTGCATGCTGAGTTTTCAAATTGAAAGACAGTAATTGGGCAATGCAAAGAGGCAAAAAACAAAACAAAACACTAAGCCTTAGAAAATGAATAAAATCCAGTTACTATCACGCCTTACAGAGAGTGATGACCACCCAAACCCAGCACACATGTCACAGAGATGAGTATAATAACTGTCGCAAGTTAGGAAGAAAGCTTTTTCCAGACTGATAAACTGTCTGAAGAGTAGCCGCTGTTGAATGCTTGTATAAAATGTCGCCATCACCCATAAAGAAGTTCCCTCAGTGAGTGTTTTTTTTCACAATACAATGAGAAACATGATTTATTCCTGTCAAAGGAACAAATTTTTAATGTTTCATCACAAACACATGATTTTTAATGGTCATCTTTTTATCAAGGTGGCTCGGTGGGTAGCACTGTTGCCTCGCAGCTAGAAGGTCGCCGGTTCACGTCCCGGTGAGGACACCCGGGATCTTTCTGCGTGGAGTTTGCAAGTTCTCTCCGGGAACTCCGGCTTCCTCCCACAGTCCATAAACATGTTGAGGTTAATTGGTGATTCTAAATTGTCCGTAGGTGTGAATGTGCTGGTTGTCTGTCTCTAAGTGTAGCCCTGTGATAGACTGGTGACCTGTCAGCTAGGATAGACTCCAGCCCTCCTGCGACCCGAGTGAGGATTAAATGGTGTATCGATGATGGATGGATTGATCTTCTTATCAATCCAAATTCCAAGTTATTTGTTTCAATATTTGTACCATTTTGAGTAGAGACTACCAGATTGTCAAAAGTAAAGTTTTTAGCTCAGGTAAATAGCACATATTTCGATCTCTGCTGACTTGTAACAGAGCAAAGCATTTGAATAATGCTGTCGCTCCTGTAAGGACTTTGGAAGTGGAACCGATTTTCACCTTGGTCACATGTTGGCTCAACAGGCTATTTTAAGTCATGCAGACACCTGTTAAATATAGAGCCTCATTAATTTGTCACCACAGCGTCCATGAACTTCAGATGTTCTGGACGTTTTGTGCTTCCAACACAAACAAATTGAAAACAGTATTCATGATAAATATGTAAATGTTAATGTCGTTTGTTTAACGTGATTTTAAAATGTCGAGTGACAAAAAAAAGCACAATGTGACGTCCTCTTCGAGTCAGACGTACAAACAACAGCAGAGGATAGATGGAGTCCGTTTCCTTATGCTGTACAGGCCAAAATCTAAATAAAGTCAACTAAGAATTAACAAAAAGGTCTCCAGTGAGTTAGAAGCTGCTGTAACACGGGCATCAGTGTTCAAAGTAAAATGTGTTTTGCATCACTGAGGTGAGAGGCTGCCAGAAGGAAGTCCTTCCTCTAGAAGCGGCACTTGAAAGCACCTTAAAAATGCCTTCTGGAGTGAGGTCAGATGGAACAAACATGAGCTGTTTTGGCCACAGTGACCAGTTTGGAGGAGAGAAGGTGAAGCTTTTAACTCCAAGAACACCAAACGTACAGCCAGGCATGGTGGTGGTGGTCTCATGCTCTGGGACAGGCTCTCCAGGAATCACTGGAAACTCATGACTGTTGTGTCATACATGTTTTAATGATTCCTTGCCTGTGTCACTGCTCTTTCAGCATCCATCGACAGAATTGACTCCCATCTTGAAGCTGTCCCTGTCTGAGTTGACAAAGCAGCTACACGATGGCTCGTTGAACCCAGAGGACGTGTTTTACGCTTACATGGAAAAGGTTCAGTATCTATCATGATAAATGTAAAACAATTCCTGTATAACAGACAAACAGTGAAAACTGCAAGAAAATCAGTCTGCACGGTCCTTCATTCAAATGTGTGGACCAAACATTAAGTTGCACCAACTACATATTTGTGTGTCTCCAATAATTTTTGTTTTTTCCCGATTTTTTGGACAGACTCTGGCTGTACACGAAAAGGTGAACTGCTGCACAGAAATTTTGCTGGAGAGTTTTGACCAGCTGGAAACTATTGGCTCCAACAAGGACGGCCTCTTGTATGGAGTTCCAGTTAGCATTAAGGATAATTATGGCTATAAGGTATTTGAGTGTCTTTTTAAATATGAACTTTTGTAATCCATTATATCTTCATGATGTAGCTCAGATTTGCATCTTTGACGTGCCTTTATCTGACATTAACCTCTTCGCCTGCTTTCTTTGAAAACACCAGGGTCATTACTCTACTTGTGGGGCGCTCATATATCTGGATGAGCCTGTCCAGGAGGATGCTGTGCTTGTTCAAGTCCTGAAGAAACAAGGAGCGATTCCCATTGTGAAAACCAACGTGCCCCAAGGCCTTTTATCGTAAGTCATTTATCAAGCTTTTTTAAGTTGTTACTAAATTAACGTTTCATTCACACACTGCAGAGAACTCTGTGTACTTGTGCACGTACACAATGTTACTGCTAAAGCACTTAGGATAACCATGACCTGGCTGACTGAGACTCTAAAATGTTTATAGGCAAGAAGACTGTGACTGTCATTCTTTATTTGTTTTTTCTTGTCTCCTCTGCAGATATGACTGCAGTAACCCTATATTCGGGCAGACCCTGAACCCCCATAACCTCCAGAAGACCTCTGGCGGTTCGTCCGGTGGGGAGGGGGCTCTTATCGGGGCAGGAGGCTCCTTGTGTGGTATGGGCAGTGATATCGGAGGCAGTGTGCGTATTCCTGCTGCATTCTGTGGGATTTGTTCCCTTAAGCCAACAGCGGGTCGGTTAAGGTAGGTCTGCTTCCATCGATTTTATGAACAACAGTGTGAAAATATCTACAGATGGCAGCAAAATGTGCGGATGGCTGTTAGCAGAGCAGAAGAATGAACTTTTACCACATGTTAATTTCTTAGTGATCCATATTATTTTAAGTACACATCCATAAGCAATTTAAATGAGGGGAAATGCATCTGACACTGCTGCCATCTGTGTGTGAGCAAATAAATGTAAAACCACTTGGGTTAAAGGGTATTCTGTTTATGTATACAGTCATATGCTATACCTTTGTTATGCATAGTTTGTTTCTATTTCTTTCTCATTGTCAGCTCGCAGGGTGTGCGTCCATTTTTTCGAGGGCAAAAGTCAGGTAAGAAGACACAAATGTGTCCTACTGACAGTGCAGAGTTACTTCATCATTGCTGAGTAATGTCACGTGTTTAACCTGGAACATCACGTTCACTGTTTTGTTTTTTTAGTTCCGTCAACTACCGGACCCATGGCGCGGGATGTGGACAGTCTTGTTCTGATTATGCAGGCTCTTCTCTGTGACCACATGTTTTCCTTGGACCCCACTGTTCCACCGTTCCATTTTAATATGCAGGTGCGTCCTCCACTATGGGATTCATATCTCACTGTTTATTTTTTTTTATTTCACGCCAGATTTTTTTTAACTTGCTGTCAAGAGCTGAAGTGTAAAAATGTTTGTTGTTTTAAAGTGGAATTATGTGGGAAGAGTTAGTTTGGTACAAATGTTTAAAAAAAAAAGAAATTTCAAATGCTTTTAAGAAAATTCACAAATCCCTCCGAATTATATACTTAAAAGTAATCTGTTTGTCTGCATGTTTTGTCTTTAGATGTACCAGAGCACAAAACCTCTGAGGATTGGTTACCTAGAAACCGATGGCTTCCAGCAACCGTCTCCAAGCATGACTCGTGCTGTCAGAGAGGTCAAAGCTCTGCTAGAGCAAGCAGGACACACTGTAAGACAACACAACACACGTACACAATATGATCACAGCCGCATGAAATATGTGACATGAACCATATTTTGTTTATGTGGTCCTTTTAGTTGGTGCCTTACCAGCCTCTGAGGGTAGAACAAGCCATGTATGATCTGATTTTAAAAGGTGTATTTGCAGATGGGGCTACCACCATGCTACAAAACCTGTGAGTAATTCTTTTTAATATGTCAATTACTTATCAGTGCATTTATTGTTATTTTTTTCAGAACTGGTGTCAGAAATTCAAAAATAGTATAAAATGTCTTTTTAGTTTGGTCCAATGACTCAAGATGATGCCTTCAAATTGTGGTTCACACTGAAATATGTACTATTGGATGACTTTCCATTGGATGTGGTGGCGCATGTCGAACTGAAATTTAATCCCTTTAGTTATTTGTCAAGTTTTCATGTGGTGCTATTGTCAGACAAAATGTTTTGACTTTAGTTTATGAGTACCAAAAATTTGTCATGCATTAAGTGTCCGCGTTGCAATTGGAAATAAAAAAAAATTAATGATAAAAAAAAAAAAAAACTTTGGTTGGGGTGCCGCGATAGCTCACTTGGTTGAGCTGGTGTCCCATGTACACGGGCTAAAGTCCCCGATGCAGTGGTAGTGAGTTCTAATCCGGCTCTAGATGCTTTGTTGCAGGTCCTTCCCCCATTCTTCTCCCCTGCTTTCCTGTCCCTCTCTTCACTATACTCTCAAATAAAGGCCAAAAAAAATAATTAAAAAAACAAAAAACAGCTGGAATTCTAGCTGCATCATGTTTTTCAGGCTGGTGAGCAAATGTTAACATGCCAGCTAAACTAAAAGTAGTTATTATAGGCCAAACAAATGCTGAGCATCAACATGCTACCAGTGTCATTACAAACATGTTGATGTGTCATAAGTGGAGGTTTCACATCATATTTGGAGACTTTTTTTCTAAAGTTATTACAATAATCTTTACAGCAATGATAGCAAAATACAAACTGTATTGTGTTTTAGGAGGGGAAGCCCTGTGGACCCGACTATCAAATCACAGATTTTTCCCTACTATCTCCCCAACTGGTTAAAGAAAACCATTGCAGTTCTCATCAAGCCCTGGGTGAGTTCCCTCTATCGACGACAGACGCATGCACATATAGACAGCAGAAAATGCTGTTCTTTACTGTGACGCTGGTTTGAAAGTGACGTTGGCAGTTGTTTGATAAAGTATTTACAGTATCAGAATGATGATGTGCATGTTGGTGTCACACGTTTGTTGTGCAGGCTCCTCGTGTGTCAGCCTCCTTGAGAAGTCTCTGCGGAGTTGGGTGAGAAAATTTTCTTGAAATTTATAAATTTTTGTGTATTACTTGTGATTAGCAAGATGAAAAAAAAAAAAACATACTGATTCTTTCTCTGCCTTGTTTTTTTTAGATCCGTTCCAAATCTGTGGCAGCAGCATGCGGCTGTCGAGGTCTGTTTGGCTGTTTATTCATGAGTCCTGCGTATGAATGAATGCATTAGGAGGAAACTGAATTCCACTTTGTTTTCTTTAGGACTACATTAAAGAGACAATTGCACATTGGAGGAGATGCAACATAGATGTGCTGCTCTACCCTACCATCGGACCAGCCTACAACTTCCTCTACTGCGGCAAAGCTTCTAGTAGGCTAATCATAACAAATTATTGATGTAAACAGTGGCATCGCTAATAGACCGCCAGGTGTAACACAGCGGATAATCTGTTCCCATCTTCTCTTCTTACAGCCATTCTAAGTTACACAATGATTTACAATCTCCTCAACTTTCCTGCCGGAGTGGTACCTGTTACCACGGTGACAAAAGAGGACGAGGAGGCGCTCAAGAATTATCAGGGCTACTACCAGGACGTGTCTGACAAGAACTTCAAAGAAGTAAGTGACGCCTACCAGTGAGGGTTTGCTGACTGAATGCAGGGGTTCTGAAGGAAAACAAGACTGTCCAATGCGATACACTCACTGGCCAGTTTGTTGGGTACATCCAGGAAATCTCATTGCCAAAAAAAAAGTCTACTTTTACAAAGTCTTTGTCGATGCTGTCAGGTGATAATTCTATTTCATGTTCATAATTGTTCCTACTAGGTGGTGGTGTATGGGACTGTATTACATTTATAAGTTTTCCTAATATTTTGCTCCCCTCATGTATGTAAATGGAGTGGACAAAATACTAAGAACACTGTAAAATGTAATGTAGTCCAGAACAGAACCATCACACACGATGACCTCAGTAATAATCCGTAGAATCATCCCCTTGGTGACGTCAACAAAAACTGAAAATGTAGATTCTTTCCAAACAAAGCAGTATTTATTGCACACCTGCTGTATTGGATTTCATTAGTCTCCACTGGTTTACCTGATAAAGTGACTGGTGAGTGTCTATAAAAAGTATTCACCCCCATGAAAGTTTCCTCCTTTTTAATGCTTTCTAATACGCTTTTGACAAAGTCGTGTTTATGACCATGCTTCACTTCATGATGCTGCCACCACCATGCTTCACCGTGGGGATGGTGTGTTTGTGATGATGTGGAAGTTTTTGGTGTCTGTCAAACACAGTGTTTAGTCTAAACAAGTCCACATGGCAAATAATACTGTGTGGTTTTCACTTCAGTATGTTAACTTGTTAAGTAAATTAGTAAATATTTGTCTACTGGGAAGCATTTGGCTTGAAGTCTGCTGACTTAAATGTGCCATGTAAGTAACAATGACTTACTATTAGGATATTTGCTTTAATTATTTTACTTGTATTTATTAATATTGATATATTGCAAGTCTTTTTCATCTATCTTTATCCTAACTGTTGATATGAAGTCTTTGGGTATCCTGCAGGTGCTTCGTCAAAGCACTTTGCAAGCCCTTGTTGTTAAGAGGCAAATTAAAGTATCTACACAAGTAGTTCCGCTAAACAACCACAAGGTGGCACCAACAAGCTTTGAGCATTTCAGCTTATGTGCCTATAAACCATTACCAGACCACTGCATGCTAAACCTTTGTAATGTTTCACTTTGTAGGCCAGCAGATATTCATGCAGATGTAAGAACAAACAAAACAGGGCTGAAACAAACGGTTATTTTAATAATTTAATCTATAAAATGTCAGCAAATAGTAATACAATGGCAATTTCAAGTCCAGGCTGGCAGCTTCACAGTGCTTTTTTTGACATTTATTTGCCAGACATAACTGACCTAAACAGCGAGGTGATTTATTTTTTCCACACTCGGTGACCAAAACTTGAAGATACTTTTTGGGTTTTTTTTTATGTCACTGAAGCAAAAGTTGCACACCCATACACTGAGAAGGTGGAGCAAGCAGGCTTTCTAGCATTTTGCAAAAAAATTAATGTGTGACGAATTTGTTGTTTTTTTGTTTTTTTTTTCAGCTGCAACTACATCTCCCACAACTCCTACATCGACACAGAAGCTGTATCGTTTGTTGTCGATTTGCGTCTGTCTGTGGTGGTTTTGTCACTTTAGGCATTCTGTGTCTCTTTATCTATCGTGCATCCCTTTGTGAACACGCAGATATGCACATGTTCCTGTATGTCGGTGCAAACTTGTCAGGCCATTTTTTTTTTATGCATGTAGTTCCACAGTTGGTCAGCAGGTGGAGGCAGAGTGCTGACAGTTTACTGACCGGAGCCTGTGTTTGTTTCCAGGCGGTGACCGGAGGCGAGGGTCTGCCCGTGGCGGTGCAGTGCGTCGCTCTGCCGTGGCAGGATGAGCTCTGCCTGCGCTTCATGAAGGAGGTGGAACAGCTGGTCAAACAGAGCAGGAAGTAAAGTCTGCTGAGTGTCTGGATCCCACAGGTGGGATTCAAGATCAAACCTAAGAAGCCTCAAGTTAAGTTAGATTGAGTGTCTCAGGTAACACATTTTTAACGAAGGTGCTGTGTTTAAGCAAAATACCTGCACACACTTTTAGAGTTTCTAACCGTATTTAATCGAACTGAAAAGAATGAAAACAAAACTTTTCACAGGAAAAGCACATTATAGAATAGAATAGAATAGAATAGAATAGAAAAATACTTTATTAATCCCAGTCTGGGAAATTACTGTGGTACAGCAGCAGAAAGTACTATTTAAAAATTACAAATAAAATAGGTGAATAAAATAACATAAATAAAATAAAATAAAACAACTGTACAAAATGTGCAATTTGAGAAAA